ATGTTCATTGATTCCAGTCTGATCCTTTTCTATAAGAAGCACCTCTATGTGAAGCCTTCTTTTCCCAAACTTAAAAGTTCCAACACAGTCTATTTCCATAAATCGTAAGATCACAAGATTGGTTTGTATGAAATCTACAGTAGCTTACCTGAAAAACTTGTTTTAAATATCTATACGTTACAGTAAAGTTACAAAACCACAGATTTCAAATTTGAAACCGAATTTTCAGTAAAATTGTGAAACCATGAAATCATTGAAATTAAGAGTCAGAGATTTTGTGAAAAAGTGATCATTTCATCATATTGATAGCCTTGCCATGGTACTTGTTAGCATTATCAACAAATAAATAATACATTTTGAAAATTAATATTTTATTCACCATAAACTTCATGTGACATTTCATTCACTGATGAGTCAAATGTTCATTTGTTAACATAAGTGAGGCTTCCATGACACCAAGAGTTACATTTTAGCTTTGCTTTGAAGCATTTACAACAGTTGGTCTGACATTTCTTCTGACCAGTTACAATTCGTCAAGGCTGTGCAATGACAGCTTCACAATGCTAACAGCAAAGTTATCAATATAATGAAATGATCACTTTTTCACAAAATCCTTGACTCCTAATTTCAGTGATTTCATAATTTCACAATTTTATTGAAAATTTCAGGGATTTTGCGAAATGCTTGGTTTCATACATATGCCTATCTCATCACTGAAGCCCTTTCCTTGGAGTGCTGAGTTATCAGGAGTTTATTGTGTGTGTTAAGAATATGCTCCATATTCTCATTATAGGCGTTTAGTATTATTGTCAGGCACCGACGGCCAGCCAGCTGAAGAGTAATGTTTTCTCTATTCTGTTCCAGCAATGTAATGTACATTATTTCCAGCTTCAGAATACCACACCCTCTGGCACCAGTTTGCCATTTCCATTTCTCATCCCATGAAACCTCTGAGTGAAATAGTCAAATTAGAAACAGCCTTGTTCTCCAGATCCATGTTCAGGAATTGGGTTGAAACTGCTCCAACTACAGCAATTCTTATTTAGGAGCCCTCTAGCCAACAGTTAGGGAAGACTTTTATCCCATCAGCGTGGGCAGGATTCTTATTGTGATCCCAGAAGTAAAATAAAAGAATGTTAGACCAATATGCCACTCCTTGTTAATGCCTGTAAAAAGCTGTAGGGAATGTCATCCTGGATAATGAGTATGATATACTGTAATCTGGAGATTTGATGTTTACAGGATATCCTGTTGATTTGCAACACAGTGCTTGCAGGGGACTATTTATTACACAAAACAGAAACAAATGTTATTTATATTAGCCTCTATTGGAGAGAGAGTGGACATTGTGCAGGGTGATGCAAAGGGGACAGGATGTAGAGGAGATTGCAGGACTTTTTTGGGGGGAGAGAGGAGGATTGATTGAAAGGGTGGAAATGCAGATGAGAGAAGAAAGGTTCATTCCCAGGGCTGGGACTAGAAGGCCTTGCAGTAGAAATGGGGATGGGACAGTAATGGTGGCAGCTAAGATAGATTCAGAAGAGATAATAGGAGAATTTCAACACTTATCCTTGCTCAGATAAGTAGGATGGTAAATTCAATATGTTAGGCTCAGATCTCTGGAAACATTCCACCCTATGTACTCGTAATTTGTTTTCTTAACTCCGCTTCAAAAAAAGTAATGAAATGCCTGTGGCACAGGCGTCATACGAAATGGCAATTGGGTAGTGTGGAGGTGAGCGATTGAAAATAGTCCTGGGTTGCCTGTGTCAGCAGAAAGTAAGGGTCTTCCCAACATCCTGAAGTGTTCAACCAGTGCAATCTTCACGTGAAAAACTTTGTACAAAAATCACGCTTGTTGAGCAGTTCAGATTTGAATTGTGGGCATTCTGGATATAATAATAATAATAATCCTTGCATTTGATATAACGCTTTTCACGTCTTCTAGAATTATCAAAGCGCTTCACAGAATATACTGAATTGAATTGACTGTATATTAGTGGATGAAACGCGGCAGCCAATTGCGCACAGCAGTGTCCCACAAACAGTCACGGATTGAGTGTCCAAATTTTTTTTTAAGGATTATTATCCCCAAAAAAGCGATCCGCCAATCAACTAACATCTGGGTTCCTACTTACTGCTGGGTAAGCAGAGGCATGTGGAGTAAGAAATCTTGCCCAATATTTTGCCCTGCCGGGAATAGAATCCAAGTCTCTTGCTTGTAAGGCGAGTGCTCTAACCACTGAGCTACAGAATGCCACTGTCTTGAATAATAGAATTATATATTTCCTTTATGATTCAGGAAATTACTGGTTTCCAAGAGAGAAATTTCCAACACCAAACACCATCTTGTTTCACTTTATTTCATAAAGTTTCTGCTGTGTCCTAGTAATCTAGTGATTTGAATAAGAATGAACCACAGGGCATTTCATTATAAAAATAATTCTGTTGTGAATCACAGATTTTAGAATTACAGATGTGTATTGCTCTAGTGTATGTGGGGCTTTTTACCCCATTGTTTTGATTCTTGTAATGGTTTATTCAATTCTAATTCTAATTAGACTTGGTATTACTCTTGCAGCTGCAATTTATTTTCACAGTATGCATTCTCATCTCTCTGCTATGTATCAACTTTGTAAAAGTTATATTCAAACTATTTTAAGCTGTGAATTGCTTCCCTTATTTTACAGTTGGCACTTTGATTGGGTTAAAGAAATATAAATTGTAATGGAATGCAAGTTACTTTAGAGGACATAAAATCATACATTTGTCTCTGATTCTCGTGAGAAGAGCTTAGCTTTGTGCAGAGTGTGGTAGAAATTGCAGATTGTTTTGATAGGTCTGGCATCAGGAAAGAATAGATAAAGTAAGGGTCGAAATATGTAAGGATCATATTTTCTAGAATTCTCTATTTTATTTCCATTTTTCACTTTGAAGGTCATGGCTTTATTGGGAAAATTGCCAACCTAAGTTGAAAATAATAATGAATTATGATCAGTTGAAAGCCTTATTCATACATTTGTGCCCTCCTGCCTCAATTACTTCAATGTACTCCTAACCAGTCTCCCCAGCTCCACCATTCATAAAATCCAATTAATGCAAAGCTCTGCCATCTGTATCCTCACCTATACTCTCACCCCAGTCTTTGTCAGGCTACTGGTTCCCTTTTGCAGAATGGATTGATTTCAAGATATTCTCACACTTGCATCCAAACCACTTCATGCCCTATTGCTCCTTATCTCTCCGACCTGCTTACACCCCACTCCACTGCCCACCTCCTTCGCTCAGCTGGCTCAGACCACCCTCACATCCCTCGTGTCCTCCACTCCACCTTAGGTGTCTGTGCTTTCAGCCACTACGCACTGAAACTGTGGAACTCTGTGCCTCAATGCCTCTGCCTTTGTCTCCTCCTCTGACTTCAGATCACACCCGAAGACCATCCTCTTCGACTGCCTATGATCACCTTCCCCCCTGTCCCCTATTTAGCGTCAAGCTCCGCACTGTTAAGCACTCCGAGACTCTACCCCATGTGAAGGACACTATACAAATCCAAGTTGTTGTGGGCTTTTTGGAAATTTCTTATATTTATACTTATTTCTATTGTCTTTATGTGGAGAGCAGAAAACTTTCTGTGATATAAAGTTCAATTATGACATCAAACTATAGGTCCAGATGCCTTGTGTGAGAGAGATTAATAATTATCAGTTGTAGCAGGACAAACTTAAGTGAACAGGATAAAGATTTATAGATAAATATTAATATAATGATCCGGATTGAGATGCATCTTATCAAATGACTTACAATGGACAGGTGTCGGATAAGATAGGTTGGGTGAGAATGTTTTAATGACCAGTGTCATGCTATTAACAACAAGGCTGATCAAGCATATGCAATTCAAGAACTTTTGGCTTGAAGTCAAAACATTGCTTAAACCTTAGATATCAATGAGATCACAAAGTGAAAAGTGCAGTAGATGACATGCTAATTATCACATTGTGGGACGTTTTGCTCCTGGAGATGTCTCACTCAATAATTGCTTGGGACAACCCTTTTCCCTTCATCCAATTTTATTCAAATGGTGTTGCACAAAGTTAGTCACTAGAGACATTGGTCTGATTAGTAAGGCTGTCAAACAAACGCATGCATTTGTATTTGTGTGTCAAATACCAATTTTTAACTCAATTTTTTTAAATTGTTAATCTTGATTCCCCAAATTGGCCATTGAAATTTATGAACTGGTAGTTTCAGTAGCCAATGGCTACAACAGCAGTTTGGGTCAAATCATTTGAAAGAGGCAGTGTGGGGGTGGACTGTACCAAGGGAAGAATTCAGCCTCTAGTTATTGACTATTATGTGAAATGAAGTGAAATGACCCACAATGTGATTAATACATCAATTGTTACTACTCACTCTTGTGTGGAATTTTGTGAACATACCTTGAACAGGGGCATTGATGGATAGAGGGAGTTCAGTGAAGAGCAACAGGGTGATTTCTGTCCTAAATTATTAAGAGATAAGTAACAGAATGTAACGTGCTTTCAAAGAAGATTTGAGAGAAAAGATTATGCAGCTCTTTAAAAGGATGAGAGAGGCATGTATGTTGCTGATGTTCATTAAAAATTCAAAGTTGCCAATGGCCACCACTTCCTTCTTTCCACCCCCCCACTTTGCTCGATGTCTGACCTCTGGCCTCACAAAGAGTTCCAACATTTTTGGTTTAGAATATGATTGAAGATGGTAAGAATTAAACTGTTCATGTCCTGCAGAGAAGATGAAGATACATACATTGCTGATGTCTTCAAAAATGTAACTGGTCAGAGTTCAATAAATTAAAATGTTGTTCGTCGATGTCCTGGAGTTCCAGAAAACTTCCGGGATAATAATCCGTGCATTTGATCTAGCGCCTCCTCATGTTGTCAGCGTCAAACTGCATTTAATATTTTCCCCATTAGCCAGGCAAGACCCAAGACGTGACATGACAACTGCTCTTTGTTTGATAGATGCTATGCTACTAGTAGCAGATCGGTTAGAGGGACCCTTCAACATAGAGGCCGTTATGGACCCAATCGATGTGAAGATTTCTGAAGCCATCATGAATATGCAGGAGAACAGCATGCAGGTGTCTGCTAAGGTAACTCTCTGGCTTGTTTTTTTGGCTCATTGATATTCTATGGGGATCATCTTCGCTTTTGTGGAGCTGTCTCAGTAAAAGCGTCAGCAGACTGGTGCTACGGCATCTTTTTCAGCCACTCTCCTCTAATCTCTGCTCTTAAATGATTGTGTCTGAATTGAAGAAAAGCTTCTGGAAAACAATTTAAAGTAGATTACTGAGTTCACCTCTGAGTTTCTGCCACAGAAAAATACAACAGATGTCTACAGTACACAAGCTGATAAGAGAAAAGCAACTTGCTCACACGTTGTGGTGAGTTGTCTACCAGTGCGACACAACTATATTTCAGACTGTTGTCCTATCCAAAATGATGAGATGTTAAATACATGAATAGCATTCAATCACAACATTGATGCCTTAAATATGAAGGAAAATTGCCATGCAGTTTTATTAAAAATGTTCAAAGGTGGAAGCTGAATTGAAAACCAATGGTTCTAAATATTGATCTCAAGGTTTTACAAGCACTGTGTTCTTTCACCGTTTGCTAGTGACAGTGACAGTAAGTGGCATTGTGCTCTGCCACCACCGTGCCACCATTAGTTAATAATAATAATAATAATAATAATAATCCTTGCATTTGATATAGCGCTTTTCACGTCAGGAGGATGTCCCAAAGCGCTTCACAGAACACACTGTAAAGTGAATTGACTGTATATTTGTTGGCGAACGCGGCAGCCAATTGCGCACAGCAATGTCCCACAAACAGTCGTAGATTGAAAATGACCAATTTATTATTGTTTTTTGTTTTGGAGGGATTATTATTAGGCGTGTGGAGTAAGGAAACTTGCCCAAGGTTTCGCCCTCTGCCTGGAATTGAACTCAGTTCTCTCACTTGCAAAGCGAGTGCTCTAACCACTGAGCTACAGGACTCCAAGCTGTTGCCAAGCTTTCCAACTCTATGCCCCTAATCTCAGGAACTTCCTCCCTCAATCCCTCTACCTTGCCTCCTCTGGCTTCAACTCCTGCCTCAAAGCTTACTATTGTAACCATGCCTTTGATCACCTCATTCCCCTCTCTCTTCCCCCCCTCCCCCCACAGCGTATGTCCTGACATTAAAAGCCCTCAAACCATTATTCCCCTTGAAGGGTGCTGTATAAATGCAAGTTGTTGTTTGTTTACAAGTTTGTTTAATTTTTTTAATATTTAACCTTTTTTCCAGAGTTGTTCAGTTGTGTATTTTACCTATTGATTGTCTCAGGCTAAAGATTTGATGAATCAAAGTTGTATTGAGTGAAGAGAGGAGAAATTTGAAGCAAGAAATTCACAAACAAAAAAGTTGGCAAGAAAACAAGAACTGTGTTTAACATTCAGTACAAATGTGGCTCCACATCTAGTTGTCCTACAGTGTCATCAGCTAATCCATGGACTGACCATTCTCCAGTTCAATTCTGAGTCCTGGTCAATATATTTTACTACAATTTGAGTCAGTGTCCTGCTATCTGGCAGTTCAGGGTTCCAGTCCAAGAGTTGAAAAATTCCATCTGTGCTATGTGCCACTTTTAGGCCCAAATATTTTGGCGGAATGCTGGTGGTGTTATACCTGTGGACCAGTCAATGTCTTTGACTGAACTTTTGGTCACCTTTTCTCCACCACTACCCCCAGTATTCCTCAGCTTCCCTGCTTCCAGTCAGCTGTGTGAAGGTTCCTCCCAACATGAAAGGCGCTATATAAATGTAAATTGTTGTCTTTAGTTCACGACTGAGTATAATTTATAACAATACGTGATTTAACAAATCACATGTTGCAATTTTCACTCCAATGCGTTGGGGCTCAAAAGAGGAGTGAAAATAACACGGGAAGAATAGTTGTAATTGATAAAAATGTAAAACCACGAATAATGTGTGCGCAGAACTCCAATATATTCTACACTATTGTTTTAAAACAAGCTACAATGAAGGCTGCCCTTATCATCTGTTTTGCGTATTTTGGTTTCGGCTTTATCATCCCCTTGATTAAATGCTGCTTCTAATCCTTCAGGCTTTTCAGACAAGACAACTTTAATCGTATTTACAAGAGCTTGTCAGTGAAATAATACCAGCAAGAAATCCAAGATACCAGGGAGCAAAGGAAAACCTGGAATTGTCAAAGAAAAAATCTGGAATGATAGATCTGGACAATTTATTGATTGCTTTTAGCAATTACCATGTCTGTGCCCAGCTGACAACATTCAACATGTTACTATATGCGCAGAACAATAGAAGCATTTTTGAAGCTGTGCATTCTTGTTTCCCTCCCTGCTGTTGAAACCATTCTGTCTATCTTGAGCAGCGATTTCAGCAGGAAGCCAGAGCAAAAAGAGACATCCATCACCTTCCCCTCAAGTTCTTACTGTACTATATCTTACACGTTTTTGGAGCTCTTCCTGATATCTTGGTCCTTCTGTAAAATAGTACAGAACTGAGTGAGGAATTGGTTTATCAATAATAGTAGGCATGTGATAACATTCTATGCACATACCAAATTGCAACTAGAATGTTGTTAGGAATAAGGAAAATGTAATCAACGTTTTTATTTGGCATCAGCAGATCTGGCTGGCCCTTATGAAATCCTACCACTCCGCCCTCGCCTCCGCTAAATCGTCGTTTTACTTCAAGACAATCTTGGAGACTAAGGACAACCTCAGGCTCCTCTTCTCCATCAAAAAACCGACTCCTCTGCCTACTCTCTCACACCTCGCCCATCCTCACCTCGAATGCCAACTGCGAGGCAATGCCGGACTTCCTTGAATCCAAAGTCGAGGGAATCCACTTAGCTGCCTCTGCCATTCCGTATGCTACCCCCTCCCCATCTCCCCCTCCCACCCCGGCCCCTACCCATCCCTCCCTCCACACCTTCGAACTTGTCTCCCCCTCCTCTCTCATCACCACTATAAACCACATGAAACCGACCACCTGCTCCCTCAATCCCATCCCTACCCCTCTCCTTACCTCACAACTCCACCTCCTTGCCCCCCTACTCACAGACATCATAAACCTCTCCCTGTCCACTAGCATCGTTCCCACCACATTAAAAACTGCCTTCATCACTCCTATCCTTAAAAAACTCTCCCTGGACCTATCTCTACTCCCAAACTTATGGCCATCTCCAACCTCCATTTCCTCTCCAAGGTCCTGGAACAAGTTGCTGCTTCCCAGCTTCGCTCCTTTCTCTCCCGCCACTTCCTTCACGAACCCCTCCAATTCGGATTCCGTGCCGCCCACAGCACAGGAACAGCCCTGGTCAAAGTGACAAATGATATTCTGTCCATCTGCGACCTGGGCTCCCTCTGCCTCCTCATCCTCCTTGACCTCTCTGCTGCCTTCGACACCGTTGATTGCTCTATCCTCATCCACCGCCTCTCCTCTTACCTCAAACGTCACGGCTCTATCCTTGACTGGTTCAGGTCGTACCTGTCACACCACGTGCACTTCATCTCCACAAATGGTTTCTCATCTAGCCCAAGCACCGTCTCGTGTGGCTTTCCTCAGGGCTCTGTCCTTGGTCCCCTCCTCTTCAATATCTACATACTCCCTCTTGGTGACATCATCTGCAGACATGGGGGTCAACTTGCACATGTATCCGGATGACACCCAACTCTACCTCCCTGCCTCCACCTTTGAATCCAGGACCACTGCTGTCCTGACAGAATGTCTGTCAGACATCAAGTCCTGGATGAGAGCTAATTTTCTTCAGTTGAATGTCAACAAGACCGAGGCTCTCCAGATTGGCTCCCGTCAGCGTCTCCTCACCTCAGGCACTGACAGCATCACCATCCATGGTTGCACACTCCACCTTGCTAAGCCAGTCCGGAACCTTGGGGTCTTGTCAACTATCCTTTCTACCCCACATCTGCGCCATGACCCGCTCTGCCTTCCCCCACCTCCACAACGTCGCCCAGCTCCATCACTGTCTCACACTGCAGGCCGCTGAAACCCTCATACATGCTTTCATTACATCAAGGCTTGACTATGTAAACTCATTTCTCATTGGCCTCCCCAACTCTGCCCTCCATAGGTGGCAGATCATCCAGATCTCTGCAGCCCGTGTCCTCTCCCACACCAGGCTCCGTGACCCTATCACTCCCATCGTCACCTGACTCCACTGGCTTCCCATCACACAGAGGATATGGTTCAAGATCCTGGTTCACACCTTCAAAGCCCTCCACGGTCTTGCTCCCCCCTACCTCTGCGATCTCCTAACCCCCTACCATCCTGTTGCTCCCTTCGCTCAGTGGGCTCCGGCCTGCTTCACATCCCCCACCTTGCTCGCCCCACTATTGGCAGGCAGGCCTTCTGCCACTCTGCTCCCACCCTCTGGAACTCCATCCTTCAGTCCCTTCACCTTGCCCCCTCCACTGCCTCCTTCATGACCCATCTCTTCGATCATGCTTTCGATCTCCCTGATTCCCCCCCCCCCCCCCCGCACTCCATCCTCTCCGATCCCGACCCCTTGCTCAGGTCCAAAACTCTGTCTGTCCAGCGCCTTGGGATGTCCTCCCGACATGAAAGGGGCGCTATACAAAAATGTAATGTTGTTGGTATTTGGGTGAGTTTGATGCTACTTAATGCAGCAGCACGCGCTCTAGATTGTGGCTCAGAAGGAAAAGGCTGGAGATGGGCAGGAAATACTGCTTGGTAGGTGGGGGAGTTCGGGGCTGGGGTTTTTTTTTTGGCCACTGCTGTCTTTGCTTTTGCTACTGTCAATTTATTGGCATCAAGAGAGAAAAATAACTCTGTTTTGAAAACTGGCAACAAAGATTGGTTTTATTCTAGCTGCTATCTCTGATTGTTGAACCAACAAATACAAGCTGGATAAAGTATTGATTTGATCCACACTTGCTGCTACGGTATATATAGGACATGTAAGGCCACCAACTAAAATACTTTTTTAAAAAAAAGGTGATAGCTTCTTTCCTAACTATATATTCTTCCTTTCCACATTGCTTTATGTATTGTTTTAGAATTGTTCATGCCATCTCCAATAGTGGTGTAGCTTCAAAATGTTAGCAGATAAGAAGGCACAGAATTAGGAAAAGACTATTCGGCCCAAATGTCTTCTGCTTCCATAACAGCTCATAGTGGCTTATTCTCCCTTTTGAGAAGAGTGTATACATTCCACTGCACAAAATAGACAATTTGCATGTGTAGGTGGTATGCATTTATGGAACTCAGTCTGGTGTGGATATTCTTAAGAATGATGATGGGTTTCTATGTGTGTTGGACACATGGCTGAACAAAACAAATTTTTAAAAATCAGCTTTGTTTTAATTTCTGCAGGTTTTTCAAGGATGTGGTCAACCCAAGCCAGTGCCATCTGGGCGGCTGGGACGTTCCATCTCAGATGGCCTTAACTTACGGTTCAGGGTCTACAGCCCCGAGGAGTCGCCTACGACGGCGGCTGGGACCAGCTTGGACAGGCTGGTAAGTACTGACAACACCCATGCTCTATGGCTTCAATAAGTAGATTGAACATTTTTCTAGCTAATGTTATAGGTCTGTGAAATAAACGAGTTTTACAAATGAAAAGTAGAAAAGAACCAAGTTTTTTTGCGCATGATTACATCCAGGAAATTTTCTCTTTGGTGCCTTGTGGCTTTCATCTTCCAGAGCATCTTTCTTCATCACTAAAGAGAGCTTCCTAGCAACACTATCTTGTTAGATAAATCTAAAGGTTGGTATTGGTTCTTCTTTGAATTTTCTTGTACATTGAAAACGCAATAAATTTTCTGGTCAAAGATATCTCTATTCCATTAATACTATGTTTCTCTTATTTGCTGAATGCCCTCTAAAAGCCATCAATCATTGGTATCATTTTCACAAGAGGACAAGTTGTTTTCTTGGTAAGAGGTTTAATAACAAAACCAATTAATATGTGTATTCGATGTGTATTCCTTTATCACAGGAAAAACAATTTGCACAGTAAAATACAGTGATTCTTCTGTGTGCAAAAAAAAGCATGCATTACTTTTGTAATGAAGATGACTGTTATGGTTGACTGCTAAATAATGGGACAAGATTGTGAGACTGGATTTCACCAGATTTATTAAATTGGTGGTTGAAACACAGTGTTTCTATGAAAGGTGAAAGTTCCGTTCCTAGAAATAATGCATGTTGTTTCTCCCATTCTAACCATGCCTTGCCTTTTAGATGAAAGCTGCAATCTTAAGATAATAAAGTGACAGTTATACTGCACCATATGCCATGTATCTTAATGGCTGCATGAGGACCACTTTGTAATATGGCACTGCAGATTCCAGTGAGGTTCTGCTGGTCTCGACCTGTCCTACTTTGTGCAAAACGAACTCTGTAATCATTGTGCCTGCACATTGCAATACGCACTTTGCTTTCAAACAAGTAGCTATGATAATGCATCTGTTCAGAAGGTCTGCAGTTTTCAGACTGAGTTGCGTTTTGGTAATTAGCCACAGGTAATCTTTGGTCAATTTGTGGAGATAACACCACATTTGTGCATCTTTCAGGAGATGAGTGAATGATTTCAGGTGATTATTATAAATCTCCTGCTTTGCTTTTATCATTCATCTGAACACATCAATGAGAATACAGCCTTGTAATGACTCCCAGCCATCAATGATTCCAAATATACTAATGTCTTAGCAAAGCAATAGTCTTATTTTCTCTTTGTTTTGGGTGTTGGTATAACTTAATTGTGCCTCATTGCGCAGAGATCAAAATTGTAATTTTTTGTTGCATTGCCATGGAGTATGGCGTATATTTTCATGACACATATCAGAGGCAGCATTGAATTTAAAGGATAATACAATTTGAAGCAGATTTAAAGGAATTATATTATGCCCTGGATTGGGGGGTGCGGGATTGCATGGGCAAGGATGAGCTAATTTAATGTTGTTCTTCCAGCCCCTATTTTAAATGCATAAGGACACAGCCAAGATAATGATTCATTATTATTATCTTAATGTCTGAGATGGAGATTTTTTGTGCTTCTCTGTCAAAATGTCCCTCATTTGCTGTGCAACTGCAGGTGTAAACCAAACATTAATCCCAAATAATCCCTCAAGAAAAACAACAATAAAATTTGGTCACTCAATCCACGACTGTTTGCGGGACACACCTGTGCGCAATTGGCTATCGCGTTTTGCCAAATACGGTCAATTCACTTCACAGTATATTCTGTGAAGGGCTTTGAGATGTCTAGAAAATGTGAAAAGCTCTATATCAAATGCAAGGATTATTATTCTTATTATTAACTTTAGCGCTTGCCAGCAATAAGCAGTACAGTGTGCTCCAACACAAAGGGGTAGAAATGGAGGAATTTAATTTGGTACGTTGTACATGAGTACTGTTGGGGTCTAACTGTCCTGTTAATGTGTGTTATTAATGTTGCTTCATGAGGAATTTCTCAGTCTTGATTCCTTTAGAAGAGATAATTTATACTTCACATTCTTGTGCTGAGTCTAGTGTTTATGAAGGACCATACCAGAGTTCCCTCTGATAACCACAACTTTAGACTTTAATTATTGGCCATAAATATAGAATTGATAATTTTTAAACAGGTGCAAAAACGTGTAAAATAGTAAAACTCGTATAAGTCCTATCTTTATCAATCGTTTAACCACCTAAGTCACACATTTACCCGAGGCCTATTCAATTTCCTATGAAAATTACTTAGAAATCTTCGCACACAACACATATTAATCACCTCCTAACTTGTAATGCCACTCCTCCACCCTCCATTTCTCCCACATTTATCGGCTGCATTGAATCACAGGAAATGACTTCCTGACCCATCGGCACATGCTCACTTGCCAGCCGGCTGCATTGAGTTGGGGGAAATGTAGTCTTGATCTGTCGACGAATGTGCAGAAGCACTTAACTTTCCGGAATCCAATGCGATTCCAATGCTTGCCAGCAAGTACGCAAGCAGCGAAGGGTCAAGACACTTTGAATCGTGGGAAATGCAGTCTTGTCCCATCACCGCACCGCAATTACCACTGCAGTGACGAACTATCACATGCTGCATTGAATTATGCTTGCGCATTGTAGATGATTGACTAAATCGTTTCAATACGATTTATACAGTTTGCTTGCATCTCGGACTTCCCGTAAGTCATATTAAATCATTTGGTTGTATCCGACTGATACAACTAATGTGAACTTACTGCATTAATAAGAATCTGAATGCTGCTATATTAAAAACAAGCTAACTCACTGATGTGCAGTGACCCATTCCCTACAGTGACAGAATAGACACGAACTGCCCAGGTACTGTGGTTGTATAGTTAGTTACTGATAAAGGACATATGTTAAACTCTGAGAGGTATTATCACCCAGGCAGGCTTGATTGAAGAATTCATGAATGACATTTCTGACACAAAATATATTGTCATCTAAAACATGATGTTCATAACAGGAGTTGCAAATATCACTAGAGAATGACAGTTATGGCTGTGATGCTATTTTCAACTATTAGAGATGTCACGTTTTAGAGATCATTCTTTTCAGTGGGTTCCCAACCAATTAGCTGTTTGCTGTATATTGAAGGAAAGCCTTAGTGTTAAAAAAACTTGTACAAAAAGCTGAAGAAATGGTTTTGTGAGCTCCCAATTTGACTGCTCTAACGTACTCTTTGATGTTCTTCCTAGTTTATCTATTCACAAGCTCAAACAAAATTACACTGCCTGCATTGTCACCTGCACTAATCTCTGCTTTCTCTTTCTCCTTGTTAAGTCTCACACCATCTGTGTGAAGCACTTTGAGACATTATTTTGTGTGAAGCACACTTTGTACATCAAAGTGTTGGTTTTGTCATAGTGCAGAGTATCCTCAAACTCCTTCCACTTTGAAACCTTACAGCTAGCAGAGACCAGACTATTATGGCAAAAGCTTGCCATGGAATCTAATCCTAATGATAAAATGATGGTGAATGGACCATAGAAACAGAAATCTACAGAGCAGAAAGAGGCAATTTGGCCCATTGAGTCCACCCCAGTTCACAGAGCGAGGAAGTCAGTTCAGTCCTGCCGACCCACCTCATCTCCATACCCCATACTCCTTCATGCATTCGTAACGAATGCATGGACGAGTGTTTCGGCAATGTTTGCAAGCGTACGTTTATAGGCGGGCAATATGGCGGAGGTGGAGGAAGACGATCCTGGTCAGGGACCTGATGTAGGGAAGGAAGGGCAGCTATGGGTTGAACCTGACGTCCAGGTTTGCACCGGTTCGATGAGTCTGAGGGATAGGCCAGGGAGGTTGAAGAGATCAGAGCCACAGGATAGAAAATGTTGATGGGAGCCAATGAGTATGGCTTCCGTCTTGTCAACAATTACTTTAGTTATAAGAAGTTTTTGCTCATGCAGGCCCTAATGTCCGCCAGAAAATTTGACAGAACATTGGTGGACCTGGAGTCGCAGCTTGAGGAGAAGAAGTAGATTTGTGTGTCATCCACATATATGTGGAAATTTATCCCGTGTCTGTGGATGACACCGCCAAGAGGGAACATATAGATGAGGAAGAGGAGGGGGCCAAGAATGGAGTCCTGTGGTACCACCACAGGTGACATGGTAGGGCGGGAGGAGAAACCATTTGAAGAGGCAAAGTGAAGGCAGTTTGTTAGGTAGGACTCGAACTAGGCTAGTGCAGTCCCATTAAGGTGGATGAAGGAGGAGAGGCACTAGATGAGGATGGCATGGTCGACTGTGTCGAACGCATCGGAGCGTTCCAGAAGAACGTGGAGGCAGGGGGAGCCCTTATCAGAGAGAAAGGTCATGTGTAACCTTGACCATCTTTGTACTATGGACAGGGCGGAATCCAGACTGGAGGGGCAAAGCTGGTTAGCGACAAAGTGTTCCAGAGTTTTGGCAAGGAATGGCAGGTTGGAAATTTTGTGAGGTTGGAGGGGTCAAGAGTGGGTTTTTTGAGGAGGGGAGTGATGACAGCAGTTTTTAGGTCTCCTCTCTGTACGTGTGTCTGTCACTCTCTTTCTCTGCCTGGGAGTGTGTGTGTCTCCCTGTGTCTGGGAGAGTGTGTCTGTGAATGTGTGTGTCACTCTCTGTCTACAAATGTAGTGTGGGTGGAAACAGACCAACTGGCCCTTCGGACCTGCGCTAGTGTGCATCTGCCATTGTGTATCTAATATTGGAAACAAATGTTTAACTTATACAATGACTTTGGCATGCTGCATATGCCTCCTTTTGAGCAGACTTGTTGTCACCAGATCCATTACTTTTAGGTTTAGCTCGGATATCTAACAATTAATATTGTTACTTTTGATAAATACAGTTTGTGTTATTGGTTATGTTAATACATTCATAAAAAAGTGCTATGTACTGAATTCTGATGTTTTCTATGATCCTGTGATGATTTCACCATCGCCATGAATTGTAGATCAGTTGCTTTATTATTAAAGAGCAGAGTATCTCTGACCAAATCAAAGCAGATTT